ATTCACTGTATCTGGTCTCCCCCGGACCCTGCATTCACTATATCTGTCCTCCCGGACCCCGCATTCACTATATCCGCTCTCCCCAGACCCTGCATTCACTGTATCTGGTCTCCCCAGACCCTGCATTCACTGTATCTGTCCTCCCCGGACCCTGCATTCACTATATCTGTCCTCCCCGGACCCTGCATTCACTATATCCGCTCTCCCCGGACCCCACATTCACTATATCCGCTCTCCCCGGACCCCGCATTCACTATATTCGCTCTCCCAGGACCCTGCATGCACTATATCTGGTCTCCCCGGACTCCGCATTCACTATATCAGGTCTCCAGGACCCTGCATTCACTATATCCGCTCTCCCCGGACCCTGCATTCACTATATCCGGTCTCCCCGGACCCTGCATTCACTATATCTGCTCTCCCCGGACCCTGCATTCATATATCTGCTCTCCCCGGACCCTGCATTTACTATATCCGCTTCTCCCCGGACCCCGCATTCACTATATCCGCTCTCCCTGGACCCCGCATTCACTATATCTGCTCTCCCCGGACCCTGCATTCACTATTATCTGCTCTCCCTGGACCCGCATTCACTATATCCGCTCTCCCTGGACCCTGCATTCACTATATCTGCTCTCCCCGGACCCCGCATTATCTATATCCGGTCTCCCCAGACCCTGCATTCACTATATCCGCTCTCCCCGGACCCCGCATTCACTATATCCGCTCTCCCCAGACCCCGCATTCACTATATCTGGTCTCCCCAGACCCTGCATTCAATATATCCGCTCTCCCCGGACCCCGCATTCACTATATCCGCTCTCCCAGGACCTGCATGCACTATATCCGGTCTCCCCGGACCCTGCATTCACTATATCCGGTCTCCCCGGACCCCGCATTCACTATATTCGGGTCTCCCCGGACCCTGCATTCACTATATCCGCTCTCCCCGGACCCCGTATTCACTATATCCGCTCTCCCCGGACCCTGCATTCACTATATCCCGCTCTCTCCCTGGACCCTGCATTCACTATATCCGCTCTCCCTGGACCCCGCATTCACTATATCTGCTCTCCCCGGGACCCTGCATTCACTATATCTGCCCTCCCCGGACCCCGCATTCACTATATCCGCTCTCCCTGGACCCTGCATTCACTATATCTGCTCTCCCTGGACCCTGCATTCACTATATCCGCTCTCCCCGGACCCCCCATTCACTATATCCGCTCTCCCGGACCCTGCATTCACTTATATCCGCTCTCCCTGGACCCTGCATTCACTATATCCGCTCTCCCTGGACCCTGCATTCACTATATCTGCTCTCCCCGGACCCTGCATTCACTATATCCGCTCTCCCCGGACCCTGCATTCACTATATCCGCTCTCCCTGGACCCCGCATTCACTATATCTGCTCTCCCCGGACCCTGCATTCACTGTATCTGGTCTCCCGGACCCTGCATTCACTATATCCGCTCTCAAAAAACCCCGGACCCTGCATTCACTATATCCGCTCTCCCGGACCCTGCATTCACTATATCTGCTCTCCCTGGACCCTGCATTCACTATATCCGCTCTCCCCGGACCCTGCATTCACTATATCCGCTCTCCCTGGACCCTGCATTCACTATATCTGCTCTCCCGGACCCCGCATTCACTATATCCAATCTCCCCGGACCCCGCATTCACTATATCCATTCACTCAGTGTTTTTTGCTGAAAAAAAACAACATAACTAGTGGGTTTCTAGAGGAGTGTTTTAGCTGTAAAAACTCTCTAGCGCTGAAAAAATGTGGCAAATTGCGGTGAATCGCGGCAAACCAGTGTTTTGGGGCTGTCCACTGTTGTAGATTCAACATTTCATGACGGTTTCTGCATTTTTTCCCCCCTTTTTTAAATCTCTCAAAAAAAAAGAAAAGACGAGTTAAGAGAGAATTTCTTCTTTTCACAATCAGTGATTGATTTCTTCTCTTAAAAGTAGTTGTGTAAATTATTTAGAAGATGCGAGGAAAAGCGAACCTCCAGTAATTACAGACTGGTAATAGCCAAAGGGAAAGTCTATGGGAGTGTATTGGCATTTCACTTTGCACAGAAAAGCTATATATTCGTGTTTAATTTACAACATTACTGAACCCCCAACAGTACAATCAGTCTGTAGATGCAGTAAAGCGTGCTTGTTATACTCACTGTGGGACCTAAGGGGTTAATCCTCTGTAAAAAGGCTGTTTGATCCTGTTGTTTTTTTCTTGGAGGGTGCATGTGATCAACACAGAGCCAATCAGCACTGTCCATACAGAGGATCAGGGGGTCCTGCAGCCTCATAGGACAATCAGGGGAGAATGCAGGGTCCGGGGAGAGCAGATATAGTGAATGCAGAGTCCGGGGAGTGGGGACCAGATATAGTGAATGCAGGGTCCGGGGGAGAGCGGATATAGTGAATGCAGGGTCCGGGGAGAGTGGATATAGTGAATGCAGGGTCCGGGGAGAGTGAAGTCTCCGGACCTGCATTCACTATATCTGGTATATCCCGGACCCCCTGCATTCACTATATCCTGTCTTCCTGGACCCTGCATTCACTATATCTGGCTTCCCCAGACCCCGCATTCACTATATCCGCTCTCCCCGGACCCCGCATTCACTATGTCCGGTCTCCCCGGACCCCGCATTCACTATATCCAATCTCCCGGACCCCGCATTCACTATATCCGCTCTCCCCGGACCCCCCGCATTCACTATATCCGCTCTCCCCCGGACCCTGCATTCACTATATCTGCTCTCCCCGGTCCCCGCATTCACTATATCCGCTCTCCCCGGACCCTGCATTCACTATATCCGCTCTCCCCGGACCCCGCATTCACTATATCCGCTCTCCCCGGACCCCGCATTCACTATATCCGCTCTCCCCGGACCCTGCATTCACTATATCTGGTCTCCCCAGACCCCGCATTCACTATATCCGCTCTCCCGGACCCCGCATTCACTATATCCGCTCTCCCCGGACCACCGCATTCACTATATCCTGCTCTATCCCCGGACCCTGCATTCACTATATCCGCTCTCCCCGGACCTGCATTCACTATATCTGCTCTCCCCGGACCCCGCATTCACCATATCCGCTCTCCCCGGACCCTGCATTCACCATATCCGCTCTCCCCGGACCCCGCATTCACTATATCCGCTCTCCCCGGACCCTGCATTCACTATATCTGCTCTCCCCGGACCCTGCATTCACTATATCCGCGCTCTCCCCGGACCCCTGCATTCACTATATCCGCTCTCCCGGACCCCGCATTCACCATATCCGCTCTCCCCGGACCCTGCATTCACTATATCGCTCTCCCCGGACCCTGCATTCACTATATCTGGTCTCCCCGGACCCCGCATTCACTATATCCGCTCTCCCGGACCCCACATTCACTATATCCACTCTCCCCGGACCCCGCATTCACTATATCCGCTCTCCCCAGACCCCGCATTCACTATATCCGCTCTCCCCGGACCCTGCATTCACTATATCTGGTCTCCCCGGACCCCGCATTCACTATATCTGGACTCCCTGGACCCTGCATTCACTATATCTGGTCTCCCCGGACCCCGCATTCACTATATCCGGTCTCCCCGGACCCTGCATTCACTATATCTGGACTCCCTGGACCCTGCATTCACTATATCTGGTCTCCCACAGTACACTGATTGGCCTGTGCTTATCACATGCACTCTCTCCAAGAAAAATTAAAAGCCTCTCTATCAATACAGACCAAGCTGAGCCTATGAAGAGTGTCTCCAGACTTTATTTCTTATCAGGAGATACGAAGGAGACACTGGAAGAAGAGGAGGATCAGAGAAATCAGGATCAACCAGCGTTTTTATATAGTACAGAGGATTAACCCATCAAGTTCCACAGTGAGTATAACAAGCATGCTTTACTGCATATACAGACTGTTGTGGATTTAGTAGCACTTGAAGTAAAATTGTGTTGGATTCAACTTCTTCTGTCTTATTGAAGAGTTAAGCTGCCTGTGGATAGTGACAAGTCAGAAGGTGATCATGCTATTCAGACGAGCTGTGTCTAAGAAGGTATGTCAATGCATATTGGGTCATTTGAAGCAGAACATTTACCCTTAGATGCTTTCCTATACCTTCTGATTAGGGCTAAGAAATGCATCAAAGTTATTATCATTATTATTATTATACAGGATTTATATTATTATTATTATACAGGATTTATGGTGCCAACAGTTTGCTCAGCACTTTACAATATAATGGGAGACAATACAGCAACAATACAGTTCAATACAAGAGGGTTAGAAGGGCCCTGATCCTGGGAGCTTACAATCTAAGAGGGGGCTAGTGGTACAAAAGGTAGTAACTGTGGGGGATGGACTGGTAGTAGAAGATTCCATTATTAGCTGAGGGCAGGATAGGCTTCCCTGAAGAGGAAGGTTTTCAGAGATCGCCTAAAAGTGAGCAGAGTAGGCGATAGTCGGATAGATTGGGGTAGAGAGTTCCAGAGGATGGAGGAGGCTCTGGAGAAGCCCTGGAGATGAGCATGGGAGGAGGAGACAAGGGAGCTAGAGAACAGGAGGTGATGAGAGGAGCGAAGAGTACGGTTTGGGTGACATTTGGAGACAAGATCGGTGATTTAATTTGTTATGAGTTATAAATGGCTTTATATGTGATTGTTAATGTTTTGAATTGTATTCATTGGGTAATGGGAAGCCAGTGGAGGGATTGGCAGAGAGGGGTGGAGGCCAGTGGAGGACACTGAGTAGAGGTCAGTGGAGGGATTGGCAGACAGGGATGGAGGACACTGAGTGGAAGCCAGTGGAGGGATTGGCAGAGAGGGGTGGAGGACACTGATTGGAAGCCAGTGGAGGGATTGGCAGAGAAAGGTGGAGGACACTGAGTGGAGACCAGTGGAGGGATTGGCAGAGAGGGGTGGAGGACACTGAGTGGAGACCAGTGGAGGGATTGACAGAGAGGGATGGAGGACACTGAGTGGAGACCAGTGGAGGGATTGGCAGAGAGGGGTGGAGGACACTGAGTGGAGACCAGTGGAGGGATTGGCAGAGAGGGGTGGAGGACACTGAGTGGAGGCCAGTGGAGGGATGGAGGACACTGAGTGGAGTCCAGTGGAGGGATTGGCAGAGAGGGATGGAGGACACTGAGTGGAGGCCAGTGGAGGGATTGGCAGAGAGGGATGGAGGACACTGAGTGGAGACCAGTGGAGAGATTGGCAGAGAGGGATGGAGGACACTGAGTGGAGGCCAGTGGAGGGATTGGCAGAGAGGGGTGGAGGACACTGAATGGAGGCCAGTGGAGGGATTGGCAGAGAGGGGTGGAGGACACTGAGTGGAGGCCAGTGGAGGGATTGGCAGAGAGGGGTGGAGGACACTGAGTGGAGGCCAGTGGAGGGATTGGAAGAGAGGGGTGGCAGATATGGAATGGTTAGTAAGGTTGATGAGTCTGGCAGCAGCATTCATGATAGACTGAAGAGGGGATTGCCTGCAATTAAGTCGGCCAATGAGGAGGGAGTCACAATAGTCCAGGAGAGAGATAACCAGGGAGGGAATACGTTGTTTAGTGGTTTCAGAAATTAAGAACGAATGTATCTTGGAGATATTGTGGAGGTAACTGGGGGGAGGGACTGAGGGTTGTATTATTGATCTTGATGGAGAAGTCGGGGGGGGGGGGGCAGGCTGGGGGAATACTAAGAGCTCAGTTTTGGAAAGATTGAGTTTGAGGAAGTGGAGTGACATCCATGCCGATATGTCACTTAGTAGGCTAGTAATGCGAGAGGAGACTGAAGGGGTGAGGTGAGGAGGAGAAAGATAGATTTGCCTGTCATCAGCATAGAGATGGTACTTAAAACCGTGGGAGTTTATCAAGGGAGACCAAGGGAGGAGGTGTAGATGGAGAAAAGAAGGGGTCCAAGGACAAAACGTTGAGGGACCCCTACAGAAATAGGGAGTGGAGAGGAGGTGACAGAGTTATAAGTAACACTGAAGGAGCGCTGCAATAGGTAGGAGGAGAACCAGGAGAGAGAGCAGAGTCTCGGAGGCTAAGAGAGTGGAGTTTTTTTGAGGAGGAGGAGATGGTCAACAGTATCAAAAGCTGCAGAGAGGTCAAGTAGTAGGGGTACGGAGTAGTGGCCATTGGTTGGGATGAGTACGGAGTAGTGTCCATTGGTTGGGATGAGTACGGAGTAGTGGCCATTGGTTGGGATTAGTACGGAGTAGTAGCCATTGGTTGGGATGCGTATGGAGTAGTGGCCATTGGTTGGGATTAGTACGGAGTAGTGGCCATTGGTTGGGATGAGTACGGAGTAGTGGCCATTGGTTGGGATGAGTACGGAGTAGTGGCCATTGGTTGGGATGAGTACGGAGTAGTGGCCATTGGTTTTAGCAGTTAGTAGATCATTAGTGAGGTTTAGTAGGGCAGTTTCAGTGGAGTGTAGTGAGCAAAAGCCAGACTGTAAAGTGTCAAGAAGGTTGTTGTCGATGAGGTGGGAGGAGCTCAGGCGATTGTAGACTAAGCATTCTAACAGTTTAAAGGTAAACAGGAGCAGGGAGATGGGTCTTAAGTTGTTCAGGTTGGTGGGGTCCAGGGAGGGCTTGTTAAGTATGGGAGTGATGTGCGCATGCTTTAGAGGGGAGGGGAAGGCACCATTAGAGAGGGAGATATTGAAGATGTGTGAGTGAGGGAGCAAAGGATAGAAGAAGAGGGTGACCGTAGTAGTGTTGGGAACAGGATCCAGGGGGCAGGTGGTGAGACGGGCTTCTGAGAAAACCTTAGTGACCTCCCCGGTAGTAGCAAGGTCAAAAGAGGAAAGTGTTGAGCGAACTTTAGTATAAGGTATGCTAAGTGAGATGTCTGTGTAGCAGAGATGCCCCTACGAATTGCATCAATCTTGTTTTTGAAATGATCTGCAATCTTGTAAGCAGTGAGTGAGGTACTTGGTGGAGGTGGAGAAAGTAGAGAGTTAAATGTAGAGAAGAGACGAAGAGGACTGGATGACAAGGTATTAATAAGAGTGACAAAGTAGGCTTGTTTGGCAGCATGGAGGGAGGCATTGTATGTTAAGAAAGCCCATTTATATTGGGTGAACGCTGGCTAAGATTTGGTTTTACGCCACAATCACTCCAGTGCACGACTATGTTGCTTAAGATTTCTGGTGTCGTCAGTCTGCCAAGGTTATAATGGTCGGGGCCTGATACTTTGTGTAGTTAGACGAGCAAGTGAGTCTAGTGTGGATGAAAGCGAACTGTTGTAGACAGCAGAGGCCATGTCAGGGCAGGACAGGGAAGAAATTCTGTCATAGAGGCGGTCAGTTGCAGATTAGAAAAGAGAAGGGTTTAAGATGTGAAGGTTTCTGTGGGTAATGGTTTGCTGCTTGGAGGGATAGGTGTTTGAAGACGAGGAGACTGTGAAGGTGATGAGATTGTCATCAGAGAAAGGAAAGCGGGTGTTTGTGAGGTTGTAGGGAGTGCAAAGATGGTAGAAAACAAGGTCTAAGGCAGGGGTGTCAAACTGGTGGCCCTCCAGCTTTTGCAAAACTACAAGTCCCATCATGCCCCTGCCTTTGGGAGTCATCCTTGTACCTGTCAATCTTGCAATGCCTCATAGGACTTGTAGTTTGTCAACAGCTGGAGGGCCGCCAGTTTGACCCCCACGGTCTAAGGTATTCCCATCAGAGTGAGTGGAGGACTGTATCCATTGTATTAAGGCAAAAGATGAGGTTAGGTTGAAGAGTTGATATGTAGCCGGGTTGTTCACATTAATGGGGATGTTAAAACCTCCAAGAATGATAGTGGGTATTTCAGAGGAGAGAAAGTAGGGTAGCCAGACGGAGAAATCATCAAGAAAGTGTGACACCGGTCCAGGAGGCCGATAGATCACTGCAATCCTCAGAGAAATGGGAGAAAACAGCCGGATGCAGTGAGTCTCGAAAGAAGAGAAGGATAGAGAGGGACGGTTAGGGAGGACTTGAAAGCTGCTCAGTGGGGATAGAAGCAAACCAACTCCACCTCCTTTCCGACCACCGAGTCTGGGTGAGTGAGTCTAGTGGAGGCCTCTGTAGGAAATTGCTACAGGAGAAGCAGAATCTGATGCTTGAAGCCAGGTTTCTGTAATTGCCAGTAGTAGTAGGTTCCCGTCATTCTAATATAATGTATTGATGCGTTCTCACAAACAAATGCTACAGAATATATAAGCTACATAGTCAATGTTGAAGAGTTAACATATGCATGTTGTGGCTAAACTTCTTTTGTGCTGACATCACAATGCCCTCCAGCAGAGAACCTCATGAATGTTCAATGTTTATTTGAAAATGAATAAATTGTTGTGTTGTTTATATATATATATATATATATATATATATATATATATATATATATATATTGTGACAGTAGGGCGATCTGTCACCCAGGATTCTCAACGAGGCAGGTTGAGGGGCTCCAGGGTAAGTGTTGGATGCAGAGGAAAGTGGCTTTTCACTTTCCTCCTTTGTTTGTAAGGTCTGTTTTGGGATCTGGAGCCTGGAGATTTCAAAGAGATCTGGGAGGGATGAAATCTCCAATCCTGGGACCAGGTTTTGGGAATGGCCAGGAGACTGATTGCACAGGTGTGTACAGCCCTTTTCATAGAGTCAGGACCAGGGTTCTGGGCTCCACCCCGGCAGATAGGAGTCAGGAGGGCTCCACCCCGGCAGATAGGAGTCAGGGGGCTCCACCCCGGCAGATAGGAGTCAGGAGGGCTCCACCTCGAAGACAGGAGTCAGGAGGGCTCCACCCCGGCAGATAGGAGTCAGGAGGGCTCCACCCCGGCAGATAGGAGTCAGGAGGGCTCCACCTGGAAGACAGGAGTCAGGAGGGCTCCACTTGGAAGACAGGAGGTCACTGCCTGGAAGTCAGGTGGGCTTCACCTAGGAGAGGTGGAAGCCAAAAGCAGCAAGGGGCTGCTAGAGACTAGTTGTGTGCTAGTGGCTATAATTCTTGAAGAAGTCTGCAGGAGACAGACATCAAGCTGAGTGTAAGCCAGGGGGCTGAATCGTTGTTTTGTTTGATGGTGGATACCCCTGCGTGGGAAGCTTTATGTTATGGGACATTTGTTTAAATAAACATGGGGGAAAAAGGCCCTTAAAGAAGCGAGTCGCTGTGTGCTTTAAATGAAAAGCTCTACCACTTTGAAGCGAGTTCCTACAATATATATACACTTTATTTATTTTTTTATTATGTTTTATAATGACTTAAAACACCTCAATTGTTTTGAAGCATTTTTGTTATGTTCATATAGATACAGTGGGATGAGGTATGTTGACCACGTATCAGTCTAAGGACAAGTCTTATCATCTGTAGATAATAAATTGATTTTATTAATTCAGTGATAAACAACGTGTCGCAGTGAAGTATCCTAACGTTAGTGATGGAGATGGAGATCTGTCTGGTCTACTTATAAAATGATGCCTTTTCACTACGACACATTGTTTCGCTTATTATATTCAATCCAATTATTATAATCTTAAAATATATGAAGAAAGAAACATACTGTATTTTCTAACTTTTTTTTTTGTTTTCTTTAATACTTACGAACGTGACATATACTTAATTGTGTTTCATTGCTGCAATAAAACATCAATTTTGAAGTTTGCAGCTGCAAAAAAAAAAAAAGAATTATGTTACTATGGAAACTGTAAGTCAAAAGTAATTGTTTTAAAGTAGTTGTAAAAGTTTTTAATATGTCTCCTATTAGTTTCAATAAATGTTTTTTTTCCAGCTGTGTTAGAACTGTACTATATTTCTATTTATGAGAGTTATCTATTTGAATGAGACATTTTGGTATTACAAAGTTGTTAAAGACCCACGGGCCAAATGTGGCCCTCGGAACGCTGTGATGTGGCCTTCAAACTGAATGCAGGAGTTTTGGTTCGCTTTCAGAAAGTGCAACGCTCCAAGATTTAATAGAAGTCTATGACAAAGCGCAGCTAAAGCTGGTCATAAAAGGTTCAAATCTCAGCAGTTTTGATGAACTGGCCAAGATTTGAGCCATGTATGGGCAGGCTGAATGTACCCAAGTTGATGGATCGATCTGCTTGCGTACAACCAACATGCTGGATTTTACATACAATTATTGCTGGCATAGCCGCCAGTAATAATCACTGTGTTCTTGCAGTGAAGATGGCTTCCTCCACGGGAGAACACAATAGTTCCAAAGGAGGGATTCCCCTGTAAACACTGATTGCAAGAAATACATTTGCTTCGTCCATGGCCTGCCTAACCCTCAGGAAAGCCGCGTTGTGCATGGTACTTGTCTGACTGCATTGTGCCAAGTGTAAGGTTTGGTGGAGAAGGAGTGGGGTGGAAGGAAGTGTTGGTGGAAGGGAAGGGGTTGGTGGGGGGAGGGGGTGGGTGGAAGGAAGGGGTGGATGGAAGGGAGGAAGAGGTGGGTGGAAGGGAGGAAGGGGTGGATGGAAGGGAGGGGTGGATGGAAAGGGAGGGGGTGGGTGGAAGGAAGGAGTGGATGGAAGGGAGGAAGGGTGGGTGGAAGGAAGGGAGGAAGGGTGGATGGAAGGAGGAAAGAAGGGGGGGGTGAAAGGGAAGGAAGGGGGGAAGGAAGGAAGGAAGGAAGGAAGGAAGGGGTGGCTGGAAGGAAGGGGCGGGTTGAAGGGAAGGAAGGGGGGTGGATGGAAGGGAGGAAGGAAGGGTGGATGGAAGGGGGGGAAGGTGGTGGATGGAAGGGAGGAAGGAAGGGAAGGAAGGAAGGGGTGCTGGAGGAAGGAAGGGGAGGGGTAGGTGGGAGGAAAGGGGGGGGGAGGGGTGGGAGGAAGGAAAGGGGGTAGGTGGAAAAGGATGGAAGGGGGGGGAAGGAAGGGGAAGAACGGAGGTC